TTTCAACACGCTTGCAAAACACCCCTCAGACATTGTCCTCTTCCAGTGCCACTTGCTCCTGAATTTGGCTTCTCACCTGTAGCGCCCCCAGCAGTGTAACCGTTTCTGGAGACTTGCGCTCATGTCTTAAGAGCTGGTTGCCGAAATTGACATGATATGACAGTTCGGAGAGCCTACGCTTTTCAGTGGGTCGAGATGAAGCCATTGTGTGTCACTTCCCTCAGGCTGCCCGTTTAGCAGCGTCCCTGACAGGAGCTGGAAACAAACTGTGTTTTCCCAGCAACAGGGCCCTGTTGTGAAATATTCCATTTGTAACATAACATATTTGAGGAAGATGTCCTCTTGGGACAAGGCAGAGCCCTCGGCCGTCCTAAAGACCGGTGTGATGCCCATGGGTCAGGATAGGATGGCCAAGGAGATCCTGCGAGTGGTCACCAGGTGCTCCAATGGGTAGGTACCTCTCTGATCCTTGCAGAACCCCTGTCCCCGTGATGCCCTGGAAGATGCCATGAATGCAGATGGACCAGAGGTAGGCATGAACCCAACTATGAACAACAACAAAAAATGTGTTAAAAAAGCAAAGAAGAGGCTCGTTTGTGGTTCGGTTTCTGCGTTCCATTTTGCTGAAATGCTTCCAAGCATGAAGTGTTTTTCCATCTGGTGCTTCATTTTGCTTTGGTAAAATAGATGTCCTTTCCCTCTTTATGGCTGCCCATATGTCCTGCTGGGTCCTCCTTGTGTGCCACCACCTCCTTTTCCCTCTTTATGGCTGCCCAACCGTCCATGTCCTTCTGGGTCCTCCTTGTGTGCCACCACCTCCTCCAGGCACAGTGGGATCCTTTTTTCCATCCAGGACCTGGGCCCGCTCTCTCTGCGCATGTCCACACCTATCAGCTGGTAGACGAGCGCATGTCCAGAGACAGCCGGCCTGGCTACCGGAAGGGAAGCCTAGACGTTGTCCCTGAAGGTGGCGGTGGAGGTGAAGGAAGAGGAGGATAAAAAGGGACAGGAGGCAGGATCAGGGAGGGAGGCGATGGGGGGCAACTGGGGGGAGGTTCAATAGGCTTATTAGGTTCCTCTCCTCCAAGGCAAAAACTGGAAAAATGAACCATAAATGGCTTTGTTTTTCCAGGGTTTGTGGGTGGTTCATCGGTATTTAAGAACCACAAATCATCCCAATTCAGCATTTTTTTCTGGGTCATGTACATCTCAAATTTGGATGGAGAAGACGGTCCCTGGATTGATTTTCCCCTTCTACCCAAGAGGACAATTCTTGCATTTCTATTTGTAGACACCAGAGGGCAACTCTGTTCTTCACATGTTCCTCATCCGTTCACTTCATAATAGGTTCTTTTCTTTCTTTTTTAAAAAATCTTCTTTCAGAATCTGTGTCACCTGAGCATAAATGAAGATCAGAAATTCGCCGGAAGATGACAGAGCAGAAACCACAAGCGATCATGTCAATCCGAAATAAAGGAGAAAAAGACACAGCTTTCCTTTTCTGTTGCCTCACGGCTTGAACAGAGATGCCGTTCCTTTCAACAACCTTCCATTCCTTGACTCTTCTGGGACCCTTCCTTCTTCTCCTCAACTCAGGTAACATTCGAAGGGCATTTTCTCCTCTTTTTGTAAATCCTTTCATCAGCAAATGTGGTCAACCATCCTTGACCAACTGGCTAGTCTTCTCTCCTCAGGGGGAGGAGCACAGTTCTTCAGTGAAGCCTGAAAATTGTATTAAAAGCAGGCGAGGTCTCAAGAACTGTAGGATGTCTTCTCCGTGTGTATCGGGACCTTTGAGGTCAGAGGAGAAGGGCTGCTGTCTCCAGATCTATTCACCCGGATCTTAGAAGTGCAGCTTTGCCCATCTCGTCCTGCCCAGTTTCAGATGACCCTCAAAAGGTCTTCTCTGGGTGTCACCACCCTGAATGGTCCAGCAAAATGGTGTCCAGAAGAGAGTTTTCTCAGTAGTGGAATATTCACCCACATCGAGATCCGGCTGCTGTTAATGGAACTATTAACAGCCAAGTGACTGTATGGGCTCCTCCTTTTTAAAAAATTGGCACATTTGAATGAATGAATGAATGAATGAATGAATGAATGAATGAATGAATGAATGAATTAATTAATTAATTAATTAATGAGATATTAAGCAATGAAAAGGAAACAGGCAAAATCAAGGAATCAACAAATAGATGTAGGACAAAAGGAAAGCCATTTTTCTAATCTTTCTTTCTTTCTTTCTTTCTTTCTTTCTTTCTTTCTTTCTTTCTTTCTTTCTTTCTTTCTTTCTTTCTTTCTTTCTTTCTTTCTTTCCTCCTTCCTTCCTTCCTTCCTTCCTTCCTTCCTTTCTTTCTTTCTTTCTTTCTTTCTTTCTTTCTTTCTTTCTTTCTTTCTTTCTTTCTTTCTTTCTTTTTAAACAGATTTTGGTCTAAGTGATTCTATTTTCCAGTTGCTTTCGGTCCGTTCGGTCTCTGAGGGAGAAGATGTCGTTTTATACTGCAATTTCAGCACTTTCGATTCCAATCCTTATCTGTTTTGGTATAACCAGTTTCCCAGTCAACCTCCAAAGCACATTACAACTATCGCAAGATATTCGACAAATGTACCTGGAACCTTGAACCTAGAGAAGAAGACAGTGAGTTTGAAAATTGAAACGGTTTCCCTTCGGGACCAAGCTGTCTATTTCTGTGCTCTGAGACTCACAGTGACGTGCAGGTGCTTTGACTCTTGAACAAAAACAGTCGCGGTAGGAAGGCAAGCAAGTCACACTTCTGAACTTTCTTGATTTCTCTTTTGCAGGTCTTGGCCAAACTGCTTCTGTGTTCCAGTCATCCGAGCAGATAGAAAGCCGAGAAGGACATGTTATCACCTTGCAGGGCAAATTTGCAATCCTCGGGGGCCTCAAGCAATGTGTTTCTTGGTACCATCAATATCTGGAGAGAGATTGAGCTGTGTGTCTAGGGAAAAACTTGTGCTTCCTTGCTTCCCTTCTATATTTCTTCCTTTTTCCTTCCTCTCTCTTCACTTCCTTCTTTGCTTTCTTTTCCGTCCTCCTTCCTTTCCATTTCATAGAATCTGAGAATACTTGAGTTGCTGCTTTTCTTTTTCCTTCCTAGATGGATCCGTGCTTTTCTGAGTCGGAATGTCATTAATAAATATAGTTAAATTAAAACAGTGTTATTGGAATGAATGGACTCACGTGACCAGTAGGTGAAAGAGAAGATGACTAGAAAATTCACCTTTTTTTAAAAAAAAGTGATGCAAAATGCTGCGGTGAGCATGGAAAGAAAAATCAAATCTCTTCCTGGGAGACCAAAGATGCAGTCTCTCTGCTCGTTGGGTTCGATAAAGGTGTGCTCCCAAAGAACTACACCTCCCATGAAGATCGGGGCTTCCTGTGAACCACTGGGCAGCTTAATTGTTCATACATTAAAAGGGGAAACACAGGATTCAGAAGCCTCTGGTTAGGCCGTGTTCCAGGTAAGTGAAAGAGAGGTGTGAAAAAGAGTTGATAGATCAGTGGCTGTGTTTGGGAACTCCCAGAATTTGTGTGTGGTGAACTCTTGGACAATCCTGGGGAACGGAATAAAATCAAAAGGAAAGTTCAACAACAGTGAACGGCCGTGTTGGTATTCTGTCACATAAAATGCATTAAAGTGGAACTCCAACGCTGTGGCCAAAATCCTGTTCGGTGGGTTGAATCTACACAGCAAAAGCAATGTCATCATCAACGATACCAGTGTCTCGAAGGGGTGCCAACCTGGTGACCCTAGATTCTGGGATTTTTTTTCAGGACATGATAATTAGACGTGCTCAGAATCCCCCTTTTCTTTTTCATTCTTTTGCATGCTCCAGAACTGCACCTGAATTCACAGGATAGCCTTCAAATTTATGAGTCTTTGTATGATCTGTCTGTCCGAGGGGCACCACTTTGCAATAGTTGCCTTATGACATCACGGGAGAACACCCTGTGTGACATCACGAGGGGTCTTCCTCTCAACTTCCTCTAGCCAGAAAGTATAGGTATAGAAATGCCACAGCTTGTAACATTACTTTCTATAAGAACGTATTGCATGTATATCATTGCTTCTCGGAAGCTGTGTTGCTGTTATTGTTTTCGTTGGTTTGACAGCTCATGAAATATATTTTAAATCCATTGCCACGTCTGCAGGCTGAAAGCATCCAGGGAAAAACACTCCAGTTCCATCTAGTGTCCATTTTTGCTATTGCACCTTCCAAATATTTACAAGAGTTCAGCTATTCCTATGCCACAGTTTGTGACATTACTTTCTAAAACAACTTATTGCGCTATCATTACTTCTTGGAAGCTGGGTTACTGCTATTGTCATGGTTAGTTTGATAACGCATGCAGTCTATTAGTATGCTGTTGCCACTACTGTAGGCCAAAAGCACCCGGGGAAAAATACTCCGGTTCCCTCTAGTGTCCATTTTTGCTATTACACCTTGCAAATATTTACAAAGAAACAAAAGTCAAGTTGTGAAAAGCCGCCCTTGCCTCTTAGGATGGATAAGAAGATGTCATAAAACTTGAAACATTTCTGTCAAAATGCCTCTAAAATGTTGTTAAATGCAATCTTATCACTACTTGAAACAAACATGTTACTCATTAAGCCAAAAGGAACTTGTTGTAGGTAACTAAGTAACTCATAACTAGTTAGTTCCAACCCTTCATATATACTAGTTGATATAGTCCTATGTAGCTACCATTTTGTAAAGCCCTCACCCCAAATACGGCCACCATATTGGAACTGGTGACGTGCTGCCTGTGTCAAGCTGTGAGAAGCGTGCCCTGAGGTAAGCAAGAAAGGCTGACAAGCCCTGGCTTTGGCCTAGTGTTGGATATCTTGGCACATAAAGTTGTTGTATATCTTTGAGGCGCACGGTGGCACTGTAGAGAAACAGTTACCCTTCTGGCAACTTGTGTCAGGAGAAAAGACAGACACACACACTAAATGGTGTTCTGACCACTGACCACATCCTCTGTGGTTTGCTAGCATTTTTTGCCTGACGTTGCCTTTTGAAAACTACTTATGAAAGAGAAAGAGTAAGTGGCACGGCATCACAATTTTCTCGTGCACAACACAGCTCAGGAGCTTACCAGAAAGGAGGCAGAATCTTCCCAGATATTTTCTTGGTCATCTCCTCTTTGATTCGGGAAAATGTCTCCTGTCGGGACCTTGGTTGTGTTCCTCACAGCTGTCTTAAGTAAGCGATCCATTTTTGAGTTGTATTATGGGATTGGTCTCTTTCTTTCTTTCTTTCTTTCTTTCTTTCTTTCTTTCTTTCTTTCTTTCTTTCTTTCTTTCTTTCTTTCTTTCTTTCTTTCTTTCTTTCTTTCAAGTTCTCAGGAGCCCAATTTAAATCAAAGCTAAAATTAAAGCAGATACTTCCATGTACCCCTGTATGTTGTACTTAAGAAGTAAGACCCAGCGATATGAACAAATCCCCATATTTTTTAAAAAAAGGAGAGATGTTTTACTGCAATATATGTGAAAAAGACCCTTTTATATCCTTATGGTGACTGATTTGAGCAGGGATCAGGCATCGGAAACTTATTATAAAAGCGCGAATTTTGACTAAGGCTAGTTTTCCTCAGCCCTGAGCACAAAGAAATGAGAAGGACCAATACTTGACAATACTCCAAAGTTCCTCATCTATGACATGAAAGGCACATGTATCCTGATGCATGCATACATGCGCCATCTTGAATGTATGTACCTGAGTGGGAGAATTAGAGGAAAAAGAACTAAAAAGACACATTCCCCCATAGATAAATTTCACTTGAGTCCAAGAATTAAAGTTGAGGCCATTGTCTTGGCCATTGTCCATTCATTCACCTGTTTTGTCCATTTGTCAATCTCTCCAGAAAGCACTACTGGCCAGTCGGTTAACCAGATAGAAGGAACCGTGGTGGTGACTCAAGGAAAAAATATCTTTCTCCATTGTTCCTACGAATCTTCGTTTACCACAAACGATCCTTTCTGGTATGTCCAGTATCCCGGCCAGCGTCCCAGGCTCTTTCTGAAAGAATACACCAAAGAGGAGGGCAATCGTCATGGTTTCCAGGCTGAGCACCGTAAAGGAGAAAAAACTTTCCATATGAAGAAATCGGCCAGCCAGTTGAAGGACTCCGCTGTCTATTTCTGTGCTGTGAGTGACACAGTGAGGCTACACAGAAGACACGCTGATCAAAAACTTGGGAGGGAAAAAAAAAGCATCCTTCACAGTATTTGCAGAGACTATGGTTGAAGTCTTGTGAGGGGAGACCTGGTTTCCCATCATTAAATTCTATTGGATGTAAACTGGCATAAGATTGGGCTATATAAAATTAAGATCTCCAACTTTAAGAAAAGGGGCACTAATTTGCTCAACGTGTTCCGTTTCTTACTTTATCATTATTCATTGATAAATTACTCCCAACCTCTTTTTAAGTGCACCTTTCTGTCTCAGCCTGTGTGAGGAAAGACTGAAGAATCTGGACCAGTTTAAACTTGAGAAAAGAAAACTGATGGAGAGAAAGGATAGCAAAAGAACAGCATGACAACGGAACCGATCCGTTTGGGAGGCGATGAGTGACTCAAGACTGGAGGCATTCAGGAGATATTTAGCAATCTCTCAGATCGACCTTAATTTAGATTGCTGCACTGAGCAGGGGATGGTGGCCGTGGACTTAATGCCCTTATAGAATCATGGAATCATTGAGGTGGAATGGGCATATAAAGCGGACAAGTCAAAACCCGTGCTCCATGCAAGAATCCAAATCTAATCAGATCTTACAGACGGCACTTCAGTTATCTCTGGTATGCTTCCAGCGATGGAATTCTCACCTTTTCCCGAGGCTATTAGTTCCATTGTCATACTGTTCTAACGATTAAGATGTTTCCCCTGATATTTAGATTAAATTTAACTTCCTATAGCTTGACTCTGTTCTTCTGTGTCTCACCTTCTGGAATGATCCTGGACCCCTCCTCTATATGGCTGCCTTTCAAATATTTGAAATGTGCTGTCGTGTTTCCCCTCAGTCTTCTTTTCTCAAGATTAAACATGCCCAGATCTCTCCGTCTTTCTTCCTCGGTCATAGTTTCCAGTTTGTTTCCAACTCCATTATTCTACGAGGCTATGAATTCAGGGTACACGCCAGCTCTCGCAAGAAGGACAAACCAATCTGGAAGAGGAGATCAATAACAAATTATGAGGTTCAAAGACAGAGAATTTGGCAGGGAAGAAAACCAGAGTAGGAACGGCCGTAAGAGATGAGAGAAATAACAAAGTCAAACATCCCTCAGGTGAAACATCCAGAAAATAATAATTAATTGCACATACAGAAAAGGAGATGGATAGAATGAATCAGGGCACAATGAGAAAATGCGGAGGAGAACTGACGTTTGCTAAGTCAAGATCAAGGACAGGAACCAGAGGAGAGAAAGAAGACTCAAAATTTGTTATCTGTTCCTTTTCATGAGAATATTGAAGAAAAACTAAGGCAAACATCACAACAGGTAGAGATGCTGGCAGTGAACAAGAAATGGCACAGAAGTCTTGATCCTGCTCCGTATATTTCCACCTCAAGAAGGTATCCCCAAAACTATTTAGTATAATACACTAGGAAATCAACGTGAGAAACCACTCGTTTGTAGTTCTGATGGAGACCTTCTGGCCTTTCTCATGACTGGTGAGGAAGGACGGACGATCTAGAAATGCTATCAATTTAGATCTAGGAAAGCCAATCCGACCCTTTTCTTCCTCCTTTCCTTACCTTGAGAAGTACAGTTGTATTTCACCTACCAAGGAGGTAAAACATTTGACCTTGTTTTTCTAAATCCTTGCAGGTTCCTTGGGAAGAGCACAGAAGATTGTCCAGCCAGAATCAGCCATACCAGTTGCAGGAGGATCATACGACCTTCCTTGCAATCTCTCTTCGGTTTCATCAGAAAAGATCCTGTGGTATCGCCAATTCCCCGGCCAAGGACCTCAGTATATTGCTGGTGCATATCCAGGAAGAACTGACGAAGGCACCGATCCGAAAAGCACATTGCGCGTTGCGAAAGAGAAGACCTCCAGCGTCCTTTTTCTCCATCACGTCACGCTGGCAGATGCTGCCGTGTACTTCTGTGCTCTCGTCCTCGCACAGTGTGTGAGGAAAGGACTGTCGCCCTGCAAGAACCCCTCACAAAGGCTGAGCAGAGGAGGAGCTACAGAACTGGAGCAGGGTAGATCTCTGCCAGCTTTGTGTATTCAGAAATGGTGGTGGGGTAGTGAAACCAGGTCGCCCTGGGTTGAAACTCTGGGACTTTTTGAATAACAGGGTCTATGCCATCTGTGACTGAAAGGACTTCACTGTTCCCTTACTGCTTTGTTGCAACGTTCTCAGAAGCTGGGATGGAAATGAATTATGCCCCAAAGATGATCCGTCCGTCCGTCCGTCCGTCCGTCCGTCCGTCCGTCCACCTACCTACCTACCTACCTACCTACCTACCTACCTACCTACCTACCTACCTACCTACCTACCTACCTACCTACCTACCTACCTACCTACCTACCTACCTACCTACCTACCTACCTACCTACCTACCTACCTACCTACCTACCTACCTACCTACCTACCTACCTACCTACCTACCTACCTACCTACCTACCTACCTACCTACCTACCTACCTACCTACCTACCTACCTACCTACCTACCTACCTACCTACCTACCTACCTACCTACCTACCTACCTACCTACCTACCTACCTACCTACCTACCTACCTACCTACCTACCTACCTACCTACCTACCTACCTACCTACCTACCTACCTACCTACCTACCTACCTACCTACCTACCTACCTACCTACCTACCTACCTACCTACCTACCTACCTACCTACCTACCTACCTACCTACCTACCTACCTACCTACCTACCTACCTACCTACCTACCTACCTACCTACCTACCTACCTACCTACCTACCTACCTACCTACCTACCTACCTACCTACCTACCTACCTACCTACCTACCTACCTACCTACCTACCTACCTACCTACCTACCTACCTGCAGGATCTTTAATTTCATCTCTGAATCATCCACTGTATGGTGTAGCGACAGAGTGATGGATGAGGACTCTGGAACACAAGTTTCAAATTCCCATTTGGCCATGGAACTCACTGGTGGAGTGGAACTGGGAATACCAATCCTTAAAATAATTCACTTACCTTAAAAGCCCTATTTGGGGTTGCTAGAAGTCAGTTCTGACATGACAGCATGGAACACACACACACGTCACCCCCCAACGTTTTTTCACCTGTTTTGTCTCCAGTTAGCTAGTCTTAGAAACTGGGACCTAAACAATTTAAAACCATAGTGGATGAAGGCAGGAGAAAAAGGCAAGCATTAAAATAGAGTTACGAGATTAAAACACAATTACATTAAAATTAAAACGCTCATCAATGAAACAGAGGACTGAGTGTTTGCACTGTTGCAGATTTTCAGTGGCCGGAATGACATGATATGCAGGAAGCTATCACAGTTAAATGGTGTCAAACTTATTCCAGTTTCTAATCTAGAAGCTAGGTGTCATTACTCTTGTCTTTCCAGTTTAGAAAAGGGCAGTGGCCATAGGTGCATGCAGTGCAGAGCTTTTACCACAAGATGGTGCTGTCAGGCTAGTTTCCACCTGAACCTGCAGTTGCCCTGTTTCCACCATTGTAGAGTCTTCTCCGAATTTTTCCCATTTAACTTAGTGATAATGGCAGAAGCACTAATGGCTTAGTGCTTCTGTATTTTTAATCTTTGTGTTTCTGTATTTTTAAAACAAGGGCCAGAATCCAACTGAAAGCTGTGCAAGGGCATAACATGGAGTGGCAGTTAGCTGCTACTTCCTAAATCAGTGATCGAATTCCTGGTCATATGCTGAGTTGCACAACTGGCACATGACTAGGAATTCAATCAAGGACTTCATTAGTAGTTCTTCACTCCTCCGAGTAATGCCATTGCATGTAAACAAGTGTAAATATTCAACTGGATTCTGGACAATAAAAAAACCCCCAAAAGTATTGTGTCTGGCCAGGGATTCTGGCTGTAGGAACGTTTCTGGCCTCGGATGGATACGGAACAGTCAGCTCTTTTCTGTTTTCCTTTGGCTAACATAGCATCCCAAAAGAAACCCAATTAAATTTCTCTGAACTTTTGATTCATCCTATGTTGGGACCCATGTGTTTTGCTCGAGGCAAGACAGTAGATCTCTGCCAGCTTTGTGTATTCAGAAATGGTGGTGGGGTAGTGAAACCAGGTCGCCCTGGGTTGAAACTCTGGGACTTTTTGAATAACAGGGTCTATGCCATCTGTGACTGAAAGGACTTCACTGTTCCCTTACTGCTTTGTTGCAACGTTCTCAGAAGCTGGGATGGAAATGAATTATGCCCCAAAGATGATCCGTCCGTCCGTCCGTCCGTCCGTCCGTCCGTCCGTCCGTCCGTCCGTCCACCTACCTCCCTACCTACCTACCTACCTACCTACCTACCT